GTGATTTTATATAAACCATCCATTTCTTCCAGCGTAAAGTAAATTGGTCCTTTTTGTCATTTACTTCTGCAGTTATTCTCTCCATCCTCCGTTGTGATGTCCATCCATATGTTCAACGGTGGGCTCTCCAGTGAAAGACAGTTTTTCGTGAGGGCTTTTTTGCACGTCACTAATATTAAACAAATATTTGTCTATCTTTGACCATCCTTCAGGCATGAGTCGAAAAAAACTAAAATTTACTTTCTAGAGTCAGTTGACTTCCAATAATATCTTGTATTGCTTTATGCCTCTCCTTCCAACAAGTTTTAATTACTTGACAGTCCCAAAAATATGGTAATAATGTGCACTTTTATTTCCAGTTTCTCAGAGTTACCTTTACAGTACATTGGGATTAAGGTGTAATAAAGTATCTTATCAAACTTTTCCACCCAAACTTCCTCCATCTCAATGAGCTGCTACATTTCCACCGATACTCCCCGATTGTTCTCCACTCTTCCTCCGTTATATCCATTCCTCCCTCCGTTTCCCACTTTGTTTTGATGTATAAAGTTGAAACGTGCTTTCATGTTTTTAAGTCCTTCATATAAACCTGAGATAATACCCGTTTGTTTGAGTTGTATGCCTCTTTAAACTGGTCCAACAGCTGTTTGCTCAATTCTCATATTCGTTTTGTCACCGACAAAATGTCCTAACTGTAGATTACGGTGAAATTAATAGAGAAATTGACTTTAATAAATAAAATGCAATGTTTTAAAAACAGATGTCGCATGATCAGTGCTCAAACTATGTTTTGGAATGACTCGGCTATTATGGCTAAGTTTACCTCAGTATCTGTGAAATTCAAGTTACAGCCATTTTGGTGCTTGCATAGCTACGTAGCTGTAGCAGCCATATTGAATTGAAGAAACTCAAAAAAGGTAATCGGCTCTAAATGTATCTTCAGTAAATATTTCCTGAGAGTTTCATTAGAATATATCTACTGGTTCATGAGATATTTTGCTAACACTACAGACAAATGCAGGCAAAGATAAAACCAAGCCAATAAAAAAAAATCCGAGTTGTGTCGTTTTTGTGCCACTAGAGGGCGGTAATCAACAAGCAAACTTCTATAGATGCTTTTGTTTCTCTTACCTCCAGGTCGTTGAAAAATAAGTGCGTGTCTGCCAAGTTGAAGATCATCTCCTCCATCCTCAGGCCAAGCGTCACCGCCATGGGAGGGTCCTAACAACAGGAAGGTCAGAACAGTTTCCAGTTATGAAACCTGCCTCTCAAACAAACAAATCGTGACTTTCCTAACTCTACCCCTCTGTTAGAATGGTACATTCCAGTCCTGGCAGCAGACACTGACGGACGTCCCATCTGCATTCCTGATGTTTGCAGGGGGGCCAGATGAAGAGTGTGTCTCCTGGTTTGTGTGTGTGTGCTGCGTGTATTTGGTATGTGAAAGGTTTGCGTGTGTGTTTTGGGAGAATGCGGCCTGCCCTGCCAGCCTGAGGCTCAGCTGCAAAAACCATCATCTGCGATAGGTCAGTGGGGGTCGACAGCTTGCAGCACGATTCGCTGACACCGTCAGACGACTAGAATAGAAACAAACTATCAGGAAGGCGAGGGAGGCGTGTGCACAAACTGAAGGAGAATCAGTCTCCCTGAGAGGGAGAAGAAAATGAACAACAACAAAAAAAGACGCGTCGGGCTCTTCAACGACGCAGCTTCATGTGATTTCCTTCCAGAGTTGACTTCACTTCTCTGCTCGTTGTGTGAATGTTTATGAAGCTGCCACTCTATGATCCATTTTTCTTCCGTATGTTTTTCAGCATCTTCCTTTTTTCCAACCAAAATTTTTTGTGCTATTTCAACAAATCGTATATCAAAACGTTCAGCTCTTTCAGGAGAAGTGTTTTGGTATTGGTGCAATTTAGCTTTTTAATATACATTTTTTTTTACATCCTTCAAATCTTTAGATCTGTTTACAGTCTTTTACTGCTCTTTGTTCACATTTTGTTCTGGTTCAGCTTCCTTGATCAACTTTAAACTTTTTTTTAAGCTACTTTCAGCCAATTTCAGCTGTTTTGTGCTCCTTCCTGATTCTTTCTGCCAATATTTTTTGTGCTTCTTTTAACTTTTGCTAATTTCAGCTTTTTATGCTCCTTTCAGATTATTTTTGCAAGTTTCAGCTTTTTCTGCTATTTCAGCTACTATTTAACAGTTTTTATGCTAATTTTAACTTTTTCAGCTAATTCCAGATTTTTTTTACGCTCATTTAAACTTTTTTCAGCCTAATTCAGTAAAAATGTTCTCTCTCCACGTCCTTCTGGTAATTTAAGCTTCTTTCTGCTTTTTTAGCTATTTTTCAGCAGTTTTTTGTTGTTGTTGCAAATGTCAGCTTTTTTCAGTCAATTTCCAATATGTGCTAATTTCTGCTTCTTTCAGCCGAAATGGTCAGACGTGCGTTCTTTCTGCTTTCTTATGCTAATTTAAGCTTTTTCTACTTTTCAGCTAGCTTTACCATTTTTAGCCAATTTCAGTTTTCAGTTAAAAGTTTTTCATGTAAATTTCTGCTAATTTCAGCCTGATTAAATTATTTCTGCTCATTTCAGCTTGTTATGCTCCTTCCAGCTTTTTCTGCTCTTTCAGCTACTATTTAGCTGTTTTGACGCTAATTTAAGCCTTTTCAGCTAATTTCACATTTTATAGCACATTCCAACCCTTTCCAATTCCTTCTGCTTGTTTAAGCTTCTTTTTGCTTTTTCAGCTACTTTTCAGCTATTTTTATTTTTTTGCTTATTTCAGCCTTTTTTTTTTTAAGCAATTTTTTTTGGAGCTCATTTCTGCTAATTTATACCAAATTCAGCAAACATTCTTTCTGCTTTCTTCTGATAACCTAGGCTTGTTCTTCCCATTCAGCTACATTTCAGCATGTTTTTTTTTTTTTTAGCTAATTTCAGCTGTTTTTCCAGCAAGTTCTTTTGTAACGCTACATTTTCCAGGAAATGCAGTTTCTCTAGTTTCCTTTAGAACTGATCACTGTGACCTTCTCTGTTCTCAGAGGGTCTGAAGAATCTAAACTACATAATAACCAGGAGGAATAAAAACATTGTTCTCATACAGGGAGTCTGATCAGAACGTGGGTGATTTTACAGGTTTTATTTTGAGCAGAAATGCTGTAAAGGTTTGTGCTTCCTGTGGCGATGTGGAAACAAACAGAAGCAGCTGGCACTCTGACCTCACATCAGCAGAAACTAAAAATGTTAAAACGTTTCAACGTTCATTTGAAGGCTGAATTCTATGAGATGGTTAACGTTTGTGAAATTACTCAAATTGAACTTACTAACTTCTGGGGCTATTTTTGTGCCTGCATGGACACAACTGCTATCACAGTCAGGCGAAGACGAACTTTAATGTGTTTTAACAGCTTGATTCAAAATGGCTGCCAGACAACTGAGCTTAATTCACATTCGGTTAGTTTTACAGATACTGAGCTAAAATTAAGTGTGGTAGTAGTTGAGAGTGATTACGTCTAATTGTTTGTAGAAAACATTAGCATGAACCATTGGAGTCAGCCCTTTTTGTCCGTTAGCAAAATATATCATGAACCACAAGGCAGATTTTAATGAAACTTTCAGATACTAGAGACTGAATGTACATCTAAAACTGATTAACGTTCAGGGTCAGTTGCACATAAAATGTCTGCCACAATTAATCAACAGTACTCTACACAAATATGGCTATGACTCAGTCAGTTATACAGATAAGACATTAAATTTCATGTGGTAGTAGCTGAGAGTCATCGATAACAGATACCCTGAGTTTGAAGTGTTGCATCATCATGTGGGATTGCTCATATTGGGTTTTTTTTGGTCTAAATTCTGTCATTTCTCTGTATAAGTTGTTCTTTAGCATGACGGAGGCAGGCAGTGTGCATGCTTTCAGAGAATGATAGATTTTTAAACTTGGATTAGGATTAGACACATAAAAAGTTCTGAGTTTACTTGTACAGACCTCACCAACCACCGAGGTGCTCTCAGAGTACGTGTTGGCGATGACACTCTGCGACTACCAAACCAGATTTTAACCCATTATGTCAGGCTCACTTGAAGCATGTACATTTAATGATCGCTTTGAGAGTTTCATTCAAATTCATCCAGTGGTTCTTGAAATATTTTGCTAACAGACTGACAATAAAACAAACATGAATATAATGTCCCGTCTTTAACAGGGCGGGTGATCATTTGTTTTTAAGTAATCCAGGTGACAAATTCTACAAAATATTAGAATGTAGGGTAAATAAACCCTTCCCATCAAATCAGAAAAAAGCAAAGAATATTAGCAGAATCGCAGAGGCCCAGTCTGTGCCCGTCTTAATATTCTCATTAGGCCTGTCACGATAAACAATAAATCAATTAATCGCATGATAAATGAAAATTATCAACCTCATTTTCATTTATCGGCTTAATTGTTTCTTCATGTCTCTTTCTACTGAAGTCACTGGATGACAAAAGGCTCAACTCCGGTGCTCTTTAAACGCAGCTAAGGTGAAAAGCTAAGCTATGCTAACAGGCCAACCTCGGGGGGGAAAAACCTTCGTCTTGTCAAAGCTCCAAAATTCACAGTCAAAACCTGTGCCTTCGTGTAAAAAGTTATTTTTCTCTGCAAAAAGAAGCCGAGAACTTATTTACTGATTTTTTATTAAAAGCTTTGTGTGAAAAATGCTAGAGAGCTCAAACCACACCAAGCGTCTGCCATTTTGAGAACCGAAGAGACAGCCCATGTCACGTCAAGGGGCCTCCCTCCCATTTTTCTTAAAGAGACACGCTGCTCACTCCCTCACTATCCATCCTTTGGTTCAAACAGCCTTATACTGCCATCCAGGGGTTAAAAAATGGTACTACACTCAAAACAAATTAAACTTCTTCTTAAATTTGACATTAGTAATTACTGTCAAATTTCAGACAATATTATCGTTTATCGCAATAATTTCTGAGACAATTAATCGCCCAGCAAAATTTGTTATCGCGACAGGCCTAATTCTCATTTTGCTCAGCGGTAACAAACATGTCTTCATTTCCCAGGGTACAAAGAGACAAAACCATTTTCCGCACTGGAATGCAACTCAAGCCAAAATGCACATTGTGAAAACATTTTCACTAATTGTTTCTCGACAGTAAACACAAAGCAAACCAAGCTGACTCACCCCCTGGGGCCGGGGGTGTTTGTAGACCCCCGCCCTCCCCCCCCCACACACACACACACAGAGAAGAGTTTACAGCTTACCGGGGCTTTTCCTCTATCCAATAAATCCAATAAATCCAAACTGCCAAACGTTAAAACCCACAAGTGTGGAGCAAAAAGGGAAGCCCACCAGTGCCCACAACCCCTCGTTTGTTAAAGAAGTAAAGTTCTGTGAAAGTCTGGCTGCAAACGCTGCGTGTGTGCAAGCTGTGCCAGCTTTTGTTCTTCTGCCAAACAGAACCAGAACATCAGAATGGATCAGGGATGAAAAAGCCTCCTCAGGCCACAGGAAATGACATCACCCAGCAAAAACCTGCGGCCACATAGGATGATCCCAGATCAGAGCCAAGATCTATTAAAACTAAAAGGAAGTCTAAACAGAGTACCTGCTCTCAGAGAAAGTCAGACCACCTAACAAGTTCAGAGAAAACGACAATAAACACCCCTCTGAGGAGGAAATTAGCACATTCAGGTGATGATTAAACTAATGAAAGCACTGACAGGTACTAATAGCTACGTTTAAAAACTCGTTTTATAGGCTGCAATCATAAATGGAGCAGAACGTTCCTGGAGCGGCTCATGTAATGTGAAGATCCACTGAGAGAAATGAAGCTTGTGCACAGCAAGCAGCCATTGTTGTTGTTGATTTAAAGAGTAAACACGGTCATAAAGGCAGCTCATTAACGTCCTGCGACGATGAAGGTACTGAACGTTTAGACAGGGGCAAGATTCTGCTCGCAACAAACGTTTGGGTATATTTTGTCTAAACTTGGCCTTATCCCAGCTAAACTGACAGCACTAAACTGAAATCAATGTTTCTGCCTTTTAATAATAATTAAAAAAAAGGTTTGTAGGTTCAATCATCCAGGTAGATAACAAAAAAGTTTAAATCATGTCATCTGGACCAGTTTCATTTACGTCTCTAAAGAAAAGCAGCAGATAAAAGATTGGATGGACATTTCTGGGCTAAAAGTTTCTGATCTTTCAGTCACTTTTCTGTCCTATGGGCATTTTTTTTTTTTAATTGTGAGGAAATGTTTGAACAGTTGTCGGGTGTTTTTTAGCTGACCTCCTGCACAGGAGAGATCATCTTTGGGCTGCAGCGAGAAAATCTGGCTCAGACACTGATTGGTTGAGTTTTCGACAGATGAGGAATAAATGCACAACTGCTGTCAAAGCAGCAAAACGCAACTATTTCTTATCTCAGACTTCCAAAAATCTAAATGACCCTAATAGATTCTGGAAAACCATTAAATCTCTCTCAGGCACCCCCCAATCATCTGACCTCCCATCACAACTTCTCGTTAACTCTGCTCCTGTGTCAAATAAGCACGAGATCCTGAACTGTTTCAACAAACATTTTGTTGCTTCTGGTTCTTTATTTGACACAGTTACTAATGGAAGATCAGCCACTTCACTTAATAACCAAACTTCTACAAATCAAATCCCTCCTACAAATCAATCCTCAGTTAATCACAGCTTCTCTTTTTCTCCGTTCTCAGTCAGTGAGGTCAATAAACTGTTAAAAGATCTTGATCCTAAAAAATCTGCAGGTCCAGATGAACTTCCACCTTATTTCTTAAGGCTGGCTGCTCACATCATCACAGTCCCTGTGACCCACATCTTCAATCTCTCCATAAGACAAAACTCCATCCCAGACACTTGGAAAACAGCCTTTGTTCTTCCTTTGCTGAAGGGAGGTGACCCCACATCACTGAACAACTATCGACCAATCTCTAAACTCTGCATTTTAGCCAAGGTTCTAGAAAAACTGATAAACTCTCAAATCAAAAATTACCTGGACTCATTTAACATCTTACCTCCACATCAATCTGGTTTCAGGAAACAACACAGCACAACCACTGCTTCACTGAAGGTTCTTAATGACGTTGTTGAAGCACTGGATGCTAAGGATTATTGTGCTGCACTTTTCTTAGACCTGTCTAAAGCTTTTGACCCTGTGGATCAGAACATCTTGTGTCATAAGCTCTCAGAAATCGGTTTCTCAGATCACACCATTGGTTGGTTCTCTAACTATCTTTCAGACCGGAGGCAATGTGTTCAACATAATGGTACTTCCTCCAGTTATTTAACATTCAATAATGGTGTACCACAAGGCTCAGTCTTAGGACCCACCCTCTTTACAATCTACATACATAATGTAGTTAAAAACATCCCTGATGCATCCATACATTTCTATGCTGACGACACAGTTGTTTATTGTCGAGCTAAAACAGTTGCTAAGGCTTTCCAGCTTCTGAAATCTGCATTCAACATCATCCAGACTGATTTGTTTCACCTCAAACTTGTCCTAAATGCCGAAAAAACCAAAGGGATGCTTTTTTCAAATAGGAAGTTGGTCCCAGCAGTTCTTCCTCCGATTTTATCCTCAAATGGTGTCCCCATTGAGTTTGTTGATTCCTATAAATATTTGGGTATCTTGGTCGACTCACATCTTTCTTTTAAGCTCCATGTGGAAAACTTGGTAAAGAAACTGAAAGTTAAACTGGGTTTCTTTTTCAGAAACAAATCCTGTCTAACCCTGAATGCTAGAAAACGCCTTGTATCTGTGACTTTCCTTCCCTCAATTGATTTTGGTGATATTATTTACATGAACGCTCCTACAAGAACCCTGCAGATGTTGGATGCTGTCTATCATGGTGCACTAAGATTCATAACTGGCTGTGATTATCGTACCCACCACTGCACCCTGTATTCATTGGTTAACTGGACATCATTAACTTCACGCAGACTCTCTCACTGGTACATTTTCATCTTTAAATCACTTCTTGGTCTGTTGCCTTCATACATCTCCTCCTACATGTCTCTGCGTGAGTGCAGCTACGGAGTGCGCTCTCAGGACATTATTACCTGCAGTGTTCCCTCAGTGAGGACTGAACTAGGCAAAAGGGCCTTATCCTACTCCGCTCCTGTTTCCTGGAATATCTTACAAAAAGATTTGAAGCTCTCGACCTTGACCTCTCTAAGTGGCTTTAAGAATCTGTTGGACTCCTGGCAGGGACCAATGCAGACATGTTCCTGTTTTTAGTTTTATACATTTGTCTTGGAATCTAGCTGTTTTTTGTTTTTGTTTTGTTACCTTTTTCCTTTTAGCCATCCTATTTGTTAAAAAAACAAAAAACAAACAAAAAAACTAGTATGAGTTTTTATAACTGCTTATTGTTGTTGCTGTTGTCCATTGTTGTCATCTTTCTTTGTTGAAATCAGGTCTCTCTTGTAAATGAGTCCTCGAGGCTCAATGGGATTTACCTGTATAAATAAAGGTTGATTGATTTTAATTTGTACATTCTCCAAATTTGAATAAAACTAAAGGAAATAATGACAATACTGCTCAAACAAACGAAAAGCATGGAATGAAACATTTTAAAATAGATTTTCTAATATAATTTTTGACCTTAATGAAGACTTCTTAATAGGGATGCACCATATTGGATTTTTGTTTGATAACTGATAGATATTTTATATACGTTCCTTTGCCATAACATATTCCCCTTATTTAGGCTTATTTGATACAAAAACTGTGTAACAGCTGTAAGAGCTGGTGACATACATTCAGTAACAGCCATATGATATGCATAGCACTTTGACTTATATTAAATGAAAAGTGTTAAATATTATTTATTAGCATTAGTCACCTGCGATGCTGTCTCACTTGTGGAGGCTTGTTCCAGGTTCCTAGCTGCAGTGTGGGATCCTCTGCACTCTTGTGCCTTTTTACGTTCAAAGTTTTTGTCTATCCATTGTGCTGTAAGACTAATTATGCTAACGGGGCTAACACGACGTCCAAATTTCTGTGGTAAAACTCACCCAAGTGCTATCTGCTATTAGCTTCTCATTGACGTCGGAAATGACGGCTAAATTGGTTAAGATTACATCAGAGAAATATCTCTGATTGGGGACGATAAAGCGAGGCTCAACGTAGTCCAAAAATGTTCAGAATCCGACATCCTCAATAAAAAAACATAACTTCCACACTGCCAACATTTTGAATTTTCCTCTCGTCGTGAGATCAGGTAGGCGCATGTAACGTCATGACTTTGTGCTGCCGCTGCAGGCGTCCTCGTCACTGGGTTGTCATAAAGAAACAGCACCTTTTATATCGGTGAGTTATTTTGATGGAATGGCCGATGTCCTATATTGAACTTTTACACTAATATTGGCTGATACGGACACCATGCCGATAATATCGTGCATCCCTACTTCTTAATAATCTAGAAACTCAAATGTGTTTATGCTCCTATTCTCATTTTTCTGTATTTATGAAGACCTAGAAAATAAAATACAAACTCCACATTTGAAGGCTATAGGAACTGTTTTTGTTTCTAGAGTTCTGAAAGCTTAAAGGTACTCATTGCAACAGCATGACCACCAGTCAAACAAACAAAATCAAAGTAACAATCGCGTACCCGAATTTCAGGATTGCATATCAGCAGATCTGGAAAACTCCTGGAGTAAATTATTTCCAACAGCATCATCTGATATAGTTCAGAATAACATTTTTATGCCTGATTTTATAGTTCAACGAGTCCCTTCTTTGTTGTAAAGTGGTCAGAGTGTGGAGGTTCATTCTATTCAAGTTAAACTGCTTCCTTGACAAATGGAGAGAGTGCAGTCAAGTCCAAGTACTGCCGTGTTGTGGAAACACTCATACCTTGCCATATTTCTGTGCATATGAGCCAGTGAGCAGAGAGTGGAAGACGATGATGGTCTCATCCAGATCCCACACGAACACCCTCTGCAGAACACAAAAACAAACAGAACCAGACATCAGATGTGTTTTAGCAACACCCTGACTGTAGAGAGTGACATCTGTACTCAGCTCTGTTCGTTTACTGAAGCTACAGAGAGCAGGCTGGATGGAAAACACAAAGTACGTCATTTCAGAATTGTGAGAGCACGTTCTTCGGTCCTTTACCTCCAGGTCACTGTCCGGAGGAGGAGAGGGGTTGTTTTTGCGCACCCTGCCACGAGTCTTGGACCCCCCGCTCCGGCAGGCTCTGTCGTCCAGCTCTTTGATAGGCGTGGAGGGGCTCTGCACTGTTTCAAAGTCCCCTGAGAGGGAAAAGAGCCACAGACAAGGTGTTTTGAAACATTTCATATTTGGCAGAAATCCGCCTGAATCTGCACAAGTAATCAGACTACATTCACTGCTGCGTAGATAGAAAAATTATAATGATGATGTGGTTGGAGCCGATTCCACAGGTATTCAGTGTCTGCTTCAGGAGGAGCAATAACTCAGACGTTATACAGTAGAGTAGATGTATTGGCAAGGTTAATAATTCAAAGTAATTGGCATGACAGATCAACTTAAAGACCAGTAAGAAACCAAAACAAAAGCACCGTTGTTAACGAGTGATTCATGAGGACACGGACATGTGAACATTTAACAGGAGGGGGAAAGACAAAAGCTATGGGATAAATCAAGACAACTTACACAATCCAATGCTTCTTACAAAGAGACTGCATTTACAATATTCTAAATGTATGATTAAGCACACACAGACAGACATTCCACACGAGCACACCCTGCCCCAGCGCCATATGCTCCCACTGCTGCTCCGTAACTAGAACCAGACCCCGAGCTTCAGCTCTCATATTGTTACGTCTCAATCAGAGACTAAAGGGAAAGTGCAGTACTGGGGGGAGGATAGCGAAGACCCAAACAGCACGTGACTAAAGGAAATAAAAAAAAAATACTGACTTGAACTGGTTGAGTAAAAAGCAAATGAGGAAGAAGCAAGGGGAAAAAAAAAGTTGCGACAGGACAAATGATAAGTTACTGTAATCAGGCTTCCTGAACTACAGCCAAGATAAACCAAAGACAAGCAAGAAGAACGCAGCAACACTGATTAAAATCCAGGTTTATGGGCACGACATGCGTGGATTTTAGACTCGCTTTGTTCCATTCATTTTCTCTCCTTGACAATAAATTCAACACTTGATATAACAAACTGAGTCTATGTGCCAACTCTCCCAATTAGCGTCTGGACTTTTACGTTAACGGTTACCTTCGTAACCAAACCTGCTTTATTTTCCAACTGGAAACGAGATAATTAAAGTGAACAAGAGTACGGCACATTATACGCCCTTCGACAAATTATTATACAGCAATCTATAGCAATGCCGCAAATTAACAAAGACCTTTTATAACATTTGACCTTGGAGCAGGGGTGATGAACATAATGGTGCTTCTTCCAGTTATTTAACTGTCAACAATGGTGCACCACAAGGCTCAGTCTTAGGACCCCCTCTCTTTACAATCTACATAAGTAATGTAGGTCAGATCATTCCTGATGCATCCTTACATTTCTATGCCGACGATACAGTAGTTTATTGTCAAGCTAAATCTGTTGCTAAGGTTTTCCAGCTTTTACAGTGCATTCGACATCATCCAGTCAGATTTGTTCCATCTCAAACTTGTGTTAAATGCTGATAAAACCAAAGGAATCTTGTTTTTCAAACAGGAAGTCGGTCCCAGTAGTATTTCCTTCCATTTTATCTTTGAATGGTGTTCCTATTGAGTTTGTCGATTCTTACAAATACATGGGAATCTTGGTCGATGTACATCTCTTTTTAAATTTTTTTTAAAAGTAATTTATTCAGTAATTTAAAGAAACAAAACAAATTCATCAAAAAAAAAAAAAACATTGAATGAAAAGGGTGCAGAAAGAAGAAGAAAATTCTTAAAATAGCTACCTCTTATTAAAAAAAATTAAATTAAAATAAAACAAACAACTCAGGCTTGAACAATTCCCAAAGCAAAAACAAAAATCAGGCATCCTTCACATGGTATCATACTTTCCTAACAATTTTAACTTAATCATCTTTTTAAACATATAAATTGTTTTAGAAATTTTTATTGTGATATCAAGGCAATTCCATAATCCTATTCCTTGAATTACAACGAAGCGCTCCTTCAGACTAGTTCTAAATGGAGGTTTTACAAACATTTCAACCCCCTTAAGGTCATAATGACTCTCTTTTTAAAACATTTTAATTGAATATTTGGGGGTAAAAAAAAATTATGAGCTTTATACATGACTTGCAAAATACTATATTCAAACAAACCATAACATTTTAATAATTTCAATTTATGAAATTATATATTTGTTGGGTGACCATGGCACTTCCTACTAATAATTATTATAGCTCTTTTTTGGAAAATAAAAAAAATCTTTTAAGCCTCATGTCGAAAACTTGATAAAGAAATCGAAATAAAAATCTGTTCTCTTTTTCAGAAACAGATCCTGTCCAACTCTGAATGCTAGAAAACACCTTGTAACTGCTACTTTCCTTCCCTCCATTGATTACGGTGACATTATTTACATGAATGTTCCAACAAGCACCCTGCAGATGTTGGACCATCATGAACTTCACGCAGACTCTCTTACTGGTACATTTTCATCTTTAAATCACTTCTTGGTCTGCTGCCTTCATACATCTCCTCCTACATGTCACGTTGTGAGTGCAGCTACAGCGTGCGCTCTCAGGACATTATTACCTGCAGTGATCCCTCAGTGAGGACTGAATTTGACAAAAGGATCTTCTCCTAATCTGCTCCCGTTTCGTGGAATATCTTGCAAAAATATCTGAAGCTCTCGACTCTGACTTCTCTAAGGAAGTTTAAACAACTGCTAGTTTCATGGCAAAAAACAACTCAGTCATGTTCCTGTTTCTAGTATTTTACACCATTTTATAAATGTAGCTTATTTTTATTCGTTTTATATCACTACTTTAATTTACGTTTCATTTTATATGCTTTTTTATGATTGTTTATTTGTGTGTGTACCTCATCTGTCTCATCTGCATGTGTGTATCAAGTTTCATTAAATTATCCTGAGCAGATCGGATGTTAAGGCCTTTTAGTTTGGACTTTTAGGGTAGGAAATTGGAGATTTGACCATTTCATTCTGAGTTGCATCGTGTATTTTCTTTGCACAAACCTTGGTGAAGTTCAGCAGCCTGCCCCGTCATAGCAGGGGTGGGATCTTGCAGCTGGTAGGCTGCTGTGGAACCAGTGCCGTCCATGCTGTTGGAGGTCATATATGTCCCGTAAGTGGAGGCAGAGTAATACTGCGCATACTGGTTTTGGCCAAACGTCGTGTATGAGGGATAATCCTGCAGAAGACACATGAGCTGTGAGTGCACAAGACTGCAGGAAAAAAGACAGAAAAACAGATGCTTCACAAAAACCACACTTCCTCTCATCTCTTTGACCCTTAATTCCTTCTAATATGCATTTTTTTTTAGATTATTGAGACAATTAAAGACTTGTTCAGCTGCAGAAGACGCAAATGCTTTATGACTCAGTCTCTAAACCTGTTACTTCATCCATCAACATAAACTGGAGCAAACCACATTCATGCACAGCTGGTGTGTGGTCAAAAGGTTGCATATAAGCCTCTCCTGTATATCGTGTGTTTTCTATTAGACACAGTTCCCCTTTAGTTTCTAACTAGTTTTTTTTATTCAGTTTAACTCCTCTTCAAATTTATAACCATTCTTAGCAAACCATTACCCTAAACTCAAACTCACCATAAGAAGTGGACATTTGATGCCAATTAGTTTTTTGTCTCCATAACACAAGCGGTCCCGAGAGTGTATCGGTTTAAACAGATTTATGTCCTCACAGCACGAGGAATAAAAGCAAACACACACACACACCTTTATCTCACCACAAAGACCAAAGCACGACTTGCTCCATATAAACAGCTACGTCTAGTGCCAGAAATTAAAATCCCCCTTATAAGCATTTTCCACCACAACGCGATCCATCATGTGGACTTGGACAAATATTCAAAACACTCTTTCACCAAGACAAAATCGTTTCTTTTGCAAGTTTTTTTTTTTTTCATGATGCAAGGTTGCAGGGTTTTAATTTTTCATGCTGTACTGAAAAAAGGAAGTTGTGTGGGAAGGTAACTAGTTCTCAAATAGACTGGTTTATTTGCCTTGACAAATCTGTTGTACTATTTATTCATGCATGTATTCATCCATTTTCTGCTGCTTGTCCATGGTTGGGTTGTGGAGGCAACATGTCCAGGAGGGAACCCAGACTCCTTCTCCAGCTCCTCCTGGGAGACCCCAAGGCATTCTCAGGCCAGAGGAGATGCACGTTATAATTCCTCCTATGACTAATGGGCCTGTCCCAGGGTCTCCTCCAAGTGGGACGTGCCTGAGAACCTCAAGGAGGAGACACTTGGAGGCATCCTAATCAGATAGCTGAGCCACCTCAGTTCACTCCCTTTGATACAGAGGAGCAGCAGCTTTACTCTGAGCTCCACCTGAATCACCCTTTAATTAAGGCTGAGTCCGGTCACCCTACAAAAGTAGCTATCATGCTTTTTGCTGTATAAGTTGCAGTTTTTTGCATAAATTAGCATGCAAGCAACTTACACAGCCTAGTGAATTATTTATGTCCCCCCCCCCCATATTTATAAACCAATTTTTGGCTGAGAGCTGATGATTTCATTCATTCTGACATGGAAAATATTGAACACTACCATTTTCAGCCACTAGAGGGGCCTCAACTAATATGGCAAGCCAAGTGTCTCATTAATAGGTAAAAGTGGCTATTAATGAAACACTTGGCTTGCCATACAAAGCCACCTTCATCTTGCTCTGGAACTCCTGGAGCAAACGTCAAAGTGCATTTATTAAGGAAAAGTTAAACGGACACACACCCTTGCTATAATTTCAAACAAGTAAATAATTGTTTTTAAGTGTTAATCTTGTTAAATTCTAGTTAAAGTCCTCCCATGCGTGCTCCCGTAGCTGCCATTTGGCACCCAATCGATTTTTGGCACAACACCGGCCCACGTTTCCAGATCGTTAGCGATGATGCATAACAAATGTGACGCATAATAGATGCGACTTATACAGCGATGCAACACATTTATGTTTTGTCCACCTTATTAGACATATTTGGACTGATGCAACTTATACGGTGGTGCGACGTTTACAGCAACAAGTACAGTAATTTCAGATGTTTGTATACGAGATCTTGTTCTTTTTGTCGTGATTTATACGTCATGATAATAGGTGAGGGTTGGAACGTAGACAGACCAGTAAATTAAAAGCTTTGCATTTTGGCTCAGCTTACTTTTTTTAACCACAGACCGAAACAATGCTCTCATTACTGCGGTCAATGCCCTGATATGTCAATCCATCTCCCAGACATCTGAACTCCTCTGCTTGAATACAGCCTCTTACTTCTGAAGTACGTGCATGAGATTTAAAAAGGTGCAGAGATGTGTCCAGTACCTGCTGTGTGGCAGTGTAGTTGGCAGGGTTGGACACAGAGTTGTTGGAGGCGTAGAGGCCCGAGGAAGCAGTGAAACTAGAGCCTTGAAAGAACAAAAACAGGAAAAATAGGTGATGTAAACTGTCATATATCAAAGGAATAAAAGAAAACGTCATACCGTATTTTTAGGACTATAAGGCGCACTTAAAATCCTTTAATTTTTGCAAAAATCAACAGTGAGCCTTATAGTCTGAAAAATACAGTAGTTGAAAAGGAAAAAAAAAAGTTACTTATTTCTGTGAACCGACCTGGCATCTGGTAGGGGGAGTAGGCAGTCTGTCCAGGCTGAGGTGTGGTGAAACCTGGGCTGTAGCTGAGCCCTGTCTGCAGTGGGGACTGACTCTGGGTTAAGCTGCCCTCTGTCTTAATCCCTGGAAGCATCACACCCAGGTCTGTGGCAAAGAGAACCAAGATTTCTAAGTGACATTTTCCACTTTTTTTTTTACTGAAATGTTAAAATTTGACATCGTTGGCTGTGAAATGTCTGCCTTGTAGTGCAGTTTGTTTGTGTAAATCTTTAATGTCCCATTTTGTTGTTTTTTTTTTGTTTGTAGAAATTGACATGAAAGTAAATACTAGCTCAAATGTTGTTGCCTTTTTTCATTGTTGGGAGTTGAAGCCAGCAGGACCCAGTTTATGGGAGCTATTATGTTATAGTTTGGAAACCAGAGTCTGAGCATTATGGATGCGGGGCTTTCAGTCCCACCTACTGCCCCGCACACCATCATTGTAAGCCTGGGACCATAATGTGGGAACACTGTGGGTTCATCTTCCAGGCTCCTGCATCATGTCCAGCATCGCCTTATATGTTGATGGTAGACATCTTAAAATTCAGGGTATGATCTTTCATTATTGTACGTAGTTGATTGCTGAGGAGCTAAAGGTGCAGGCAGCAGGTTTAAATTCAGAAAAACAAACACAAAACCAGGAGCTACAAGTGACAAAACAATAGGACTTACTAGGAGTGAATTTTGTGAAGATCTGACACTGAACATGGAAATACCAGGAGTATGTGTACTGGGTGGTGGTGATTAGTAAATGAGGTGTACCGAGTACAGATGAGATACAGGTGTTTGTGACCAGGCAAACTGAGGGAAAACACTGGCAGACAAACTATATAGGAATATACAGTAGTCCCTCGTTTATCGCGGGGGATCCGTACCCTGAAGACCTGCGATAAGTGGAAACTAAATAAACTAATAAGTGGAAATTAAAACCTTTTTCAAACTAAGGGCCAATTTCAGAAACTACATTAACTCAAATCAGATACCAAACATCTTTTCTTGGTCACAGGTTCCTCAACAAGAGTTTGATTGGTCTCATTTGATGTTCTCTGTTGTGCTTTCGACATCATAATCCAAGATTACTGAAAATTCAAGAGACAGAAGTATTTTACATTTCACATATCATCTTGGGGGCCACGTATGCTCTAAACCAGAGATGCCCAAAGTGGGGCCCGCGGGCCCAAGCCATTTGGGTTAGCCCGCCAAGCAGTCCACATTACTATATTAAAATTTATATTGAAGAATCAATGCGTTTTCACTCAAGTCATTCCACTGACTTTAATGTTGGATGGAAAAGTTGGCCCATTGACTATCGTATATGGGACTGTTTATTTTTGTTCATATTATTGTTGCTGTTGGACATGCATTTTTTTTACAATTTGCACTACATATTAGGGCTGGGCCATATCATGTCGTTCATGATAAAACCGGTAAAAAAGCTTGCACGGGCAAAAAAATGATATCATGATATGCTAATTTCATGACGTAATACATCAGTGCGCCCCATCCCTTTAACAGAATACCAGAACCGTGCGCGCCGAACAACCAAACCGAACTGCGTACCCCCCCACCTGTCGGTACTGGTGTGACGCTAATTAGTTGCGCGCAGTACTAGCTAGCTAAAAAGCTAAAAACAAACAAGGCGCGGCTCAGCCGTCTCTCCATCCAGCTCTAAACTGCAGGTACAGACAACTCAACTGTCTCTTCCTTCCCCCGCTCTAAGCTGACACTCGTCTTTATTTTTTCTCTCCCCACTCGGCTCTGGCTGCCGGTGCGGGTCTCCCCCGCTCTAAACTGCCGGTACAAACACACACAGGTCTGTCTCTGAAGTTCCACAGTCCATGGACCAAGAACAGAGTCAGGTGATCAGAGACAGAGCATCAGAGAAATAAATGAATCACTCCTGCAGGAACAGAGGAAGCTGAAACACCACAAGTGTCAGGGTCAGCTGATGACACCTTGTTACAACTTCTGGAAGTTATAGCTCATTTAAAGGCAACATATATTTTGTTACATTTATACTCAACTTATATATATATATATATATACTTAAGCTTCATTTTAGTTATTTTAGGAAACTTCACTTGCACTTTAGTTTTTGTGGTGGATTTTGTTGATCTATATTTTGTGCAGACTTTTTCAATCTAAATAACAGAAGGATCATTTTTATACTTTTAGACTGAATACTTTACTAAATAAAGTAATTTCAGTAAAATTAACCCTTGTTGTTCTTTTAGTTTTTATATAATACTGCAAAGCAACATGTTAAGTTAATTTTGTCAAATGAATAACTGATTTTTTTTTTGTTATATCACAAAATTTATCGTTATCGTCAGAATGCTCTGAAATATCGCAATATTATATTTGAGCCATATCGTCCACCCCTACTACATATAATTATACTGAAATGCCAAAATGTCAATGTTTGTTTTAATTTATTATATACAACTTGTGTTTTGTTATATTTTGGGTTCTGTAATGTTCTTTACACAGAATTGAAGATTAAATAACTGTATAATAAATAAATAGACTTTACTTAAAGATATATTTGCATTTCATGCATTATATTATTGCATTTGGCCTGAGTCCTCTGATAGATTTTAAATTTGGCCCTCTCAGGTAAAAAGTTTGGGCACCCCTGCTCATGATTTCAGCTCCCTGCCTTGTCGGCTCTTTGCCACCAGCAAGCATTCTTGGCCACGCCCACTTCTCCAATTGCACGGAGATCAGCTGCAACAGAAAATTTATCCTGCATTATGGGCTGCACAAATGTGCAGGAGGTGCTAAATAATTTAAAACAATTTATTTTAAATAAAAAGTCCATGCCGATCGTGCATCGATAGAGCTCATCCATCAATCAGCCAACGGCATGTCCAATCTTATTTTGAAAAACCGCGATAGAGGGAGTCCGCGATAAATGAACCACAAAGTAGCGAGGGACTACTGTACACAAAAATAAAAATAAAAAGATCTTCAGAAAAATCAAAAATGCAACCCAAACCACAACGAAGACTAAAACAAACAAAAACTATTACATTGTCAGACTAATAAAGTCTTAAGACCCTGTTTTAACCTTCTCAGTAAATCAGTAAAATAACTTTTAACCCACTTTCTGTTAAAATAGGAAATACATGTAAAATGTCTTAAAAACCCCAGCATGTTTTGTTTTCTTCTTGCATTGCTTTCATCCTTTAGTCAACTGTGGATATCAACGCCCCACCCAACTCCCCATGGGATATCAGAGGTTTCGCTGCTTTATGTAAATGTTAATAGTGCAGCTGTGTTTTTCAGCGAGTGCTCGTCAATACCGTATGTGGACAGTCCGTAGGCTTGTCCTGTCTGTGAGTAGGCTGTGTACATGGTTGACTGCTGCATGCTGCTGAACTGAGGCTGCCCAGCATACGTTGGCATGGGCGGTGCTGCCGGCGTGGAGAGGATGTGAGGGTAGGGCCTGGGAATACAGAGGTGATGTTAACACCTGGCGGCAACTTTTAATACATAGGAGGTGTCAAGAAGGTGTCTTCAGAAATAACCAGACTTACTTTGACGGGTAGAGGGGAGGGGAGTACTGGTGGGCTGAACGAGGGCTGTACCCGCTGCTGGTGATGACTGAAAATATAATGGCAAGAAAAAATTATTAATGGCGTCCATTTTTGTTTTAATTTGCATCTATTAAACCATTGCTGAACAAAACGACTCAAAGCCTCTGGTGTGTTTTTAAAACGTCATTCCAGTAAACACGATCTGAAGCATTTGAAATGGAGAGAAGCCAAGTCCCTTCTGTCCATGAAGGCCCTTAGAGTGGGCCTCACAGTAAAACAATGCCTTCCTGTGGTCACTGAGATGTTGAGCTCAGTGCTGACACACACCCTGCTGCTTCCAGACCCCCCCCCCCCCCCCCAGTGGTTTGTGTCTCAGGGTGTTTTCTTAGTGTAAAAGCAGAATGGTTGTGTGACTCTAAAAAAAAAAATACAGATGTAAAAATGTCTCTTCTCACTGCCAGCCTTTGATGATGCAACACGAGGCCAGGCAATGGTTCAGTGGACTAAAGCTTTCAGCTCTGAGTTAAAATAGATCATGTTTGAGGGGACTGAGACAATAGTTCGGTGTGTGCGTGCTTTACCTGAGCCTGCATACGTGTCCAGTGATGTGTCGCCTGTTGTGGTGACGGCATCGCTGTTGTTCAAAGGCTCGGTTTTCACTTCAAGTAAAAAAAAAGGTAAACGTCAGTGTTGGGGCATGACTTTAGCAACTTTTCATCACCTGAACGCAGTGAGAACATCTCTCCAGATAAAAAAGCAGAAAAACTACCATGCGATATTTGAGCAAACTGGTGAGCAGGGTTCCCATTTCAGTTGTGACTGAACTCCATCACAATTAAAGTTATTGAGCACATATTACGTAAAAAAAAAAAATATATATATATAAAAAAAATAAAAAAAAACAGCCTAGCTGGAGTACAAATATGACCTAAAGGTTCTAAGCTTGAAATACCAAGAAAGAATAATAATAAAAAAAAAGGAAATCTGATGATTAAGTTAAAAAAAAAAAACATGTTCACACACAATGAACCTCAGGCAAATTTCCCTTGATATTTACAGACTTCCTTTGAAAATTCATAAAATTTGATACTCTTGACAAGTTGGGACCTTGCTGTATGTAAGAAAACCACGCACGCACACGCTGCCATGAAATCAAAACAGCATTCAAAAAATAAACACAGCACGGCAAACCAAAGCCAATCAGACCAACTGGCTCTTCCACACAGAGCACGACCCTTTACATTTATATTCACACACATGCACCTCTGTACCATAGTCCTTGGAACACGAGGCAGGAGACGGGCTGCTGCAGCCCAGCAGCCAATCAGCCGTGTTCAGCACAGTCATGCTTTCACCTATAGGGGGTGCAAGGTGGGAAGGTGGTGAGGAAATACTGCTCTGATAACCAGATACACATCTCAGGAAAGCTTTTTATGATGACTCGGAATAGAAAACAGAAGACTAAGGAACACCTTTTTTAACTTTTGAGCTCAAAGTATTGTAACGGTCATGCTTTCATCCTAAACATTATTTAGCCTGGGAAAAATACAGTCACAGATCAGCAGCTCAAATTTAACATTATAAAATCTAAAAGGAGTGAACCTTTAACATTTCTCAGTTTGAAAACATTCTCAGTTTCTCTCAGTGGACACAAAAATAAAGTTTTTGTTTCCCCTTTTAACAGTTGTTACTGGGTTTTTTTACATGTAAAAGATCAGGAAAAACATTTATTGTATTTGCAATTTGTACTTTCTGCTTTGGCTTTTAATTTAGTCACTACTGTGGAAATCTTTCAAGTTTTTAATGATTTTAAATTTTATTTGTTGCTTCCTGTTGGACAAAAGGAATAGATCACTTACATTTTAACTATTATATAACAGAAAATACATTATACATTCCCTGGCCAAAAAAACAAAAAAGTCGCCATAAAAAAAAATAGGTCACACTAATATTTCCATGGACCGCCTTTAGCTTTGATTACATCATGCATTCCCTGTGGCATTGTTTCAATGAGCTTCTGCAATGTCACAAGATCCATTTCCATCCAGTGTTAAATTAATTTTTCAACAAGATCTTGCTTTGATAGACAATATGCATGATGGGTGCATCACTTCACCTGCCTCTCTTCTTACCCTGATGCACCATCACTCTGGAACAGGGTAAATCTGGACTCATCAGACCACATGACCTTCTTCCATTGCTCCAGAGTCCAATCTTTATGCTCCCTAGCAAAATGAAGCCTTTTTTCCCCAGTTAGCTTCACTGATTAGTGGTTTTCTTAAGGCTACACAGCTGTTCAGTCCCAATCCCTTGAGCTCCCTTTGCATTGTACATGTGGAAATGCTCTTACTTCCACTATTAAACATAGCCCTAAGTGCTACTGTTGTTTTTCTTTGATTTGATTTTACCAAACATATTTTTCCAGCCACATTTCTTCCTCGAAGCCGCTGGGTCCCCACTATCCTTCCAGTTTTTAATAATGCGTTGGACAGTTCTTAACCCAATTTTACTAGTTTCTACAATCTCCTTACATGTTTTCTCTGCTTGATGCCAATGATTTGACCCTTCTCAAACAGACAGACATCTTTTCCACGACCACGCGACGTGTCTTTAACATGGTTGTTTAAGAAACGAGAAGCAACTCATTGCACCAGTTGGGGGTTAAATAACTTGTTGCCAGATGAAAGATAATTGTCCATGCAGTAATTATCCAACAGGGGGCTCGTACCTATTTGCTTAGTTAAATCCAGGTGGCAATTTTTTTTTTTTTTTGGCCAGGCATTATAGATGCAGTGTTATCATAATGGTAAAAAAAAAAACACACAAATGTTGAACAACTGTTAGAATAATCAGTTCAACTCAGTTAATTTTTAGCAGCAATTCACAGAAGTTATCTCATACGACGGAGCTTTAGGGCCATGCAATGAAAAAAAAAAAATTAAAAGCCATAAAATTACGAGAATAAAGTCGTACAAGACTTTAAAAAATAACATATTTTTTACAGCTCTCGTTTATTTTTATTTTTTTCCACAGTTGGATCCACAACGCGACCTGTCAATCAATCCAGTAGACGTCAGCAAATGACCAATCCGAAGCTAAATGCTCCTTATCTGCAGAGAGCTGCGCTGCAGCCCATCAGAGTGTACCACCTTACTGTAAGCAGGTTCAAAGTCCTGACACTAATAATAATCTGATGCTGATGTGTTAACAGATTAACTATCTTGTTTTTTGTAAAACCAGAACCAAAGTATAACTTAACAAGATGCTTAACATTTTTCATTTTACCACAGTTAAAATGCAGTAAACCTGCTTTATCGTGTCGGAGTTCAGATAATATTGCAACTCATTTAGCTTCGGATTGGTCATTTGCCGACACGCCTACTGGATTGATTGACAGGTCACGTCATGGATCCGACTCGTGGGGGAAAAAAAAAAAAGAAAAAAAAACACGAAAGTAGCAAAAAGACTCGTACGACGTTATTCTCTTAATACTACTACTTTATTCTCGCAATTTTATGGCTTGGATTTTTTTTTTTTTCTTAGCGTGGCCCTAAAGCTCCGTCGTAATCTCAGGACACTGTACAAAAAATAAATAAACAAAATAAAAAAAGTTCAATTCATAAATTCAATTCAGATCCAGGTTCAGATTCCAGGAGCTGGACTTTAATAGCTTGATATTTAAAGGTTATTAAAATGGTCAGATAAGGTTATGAGAAAGCAAAGCTAATACAGTTCACTTCCTATGAATCAGGTCGAGTATGAGGAGGAAAATCAGTAGGTTCGTGGACATTTAGGGTAAAACCAACAGGTTAAATTAAGAATATATTTAGGCTTTAATTTCCATCTCCATGACTACCGACAAACCCCCCCCCCCACACACACACACTTATTAATAAAAACTAATAACATCATAACACAGGTAAAAACATTATGTTTTGTAACATGCAACAACAAATAAAAGGCTTTTATTAATTTTCACGTTGCTCAAGAAAAATCTGGATTAAGAAATCAATAGTTGATTGAGGATTTATCAATGATTTTGTTTGGAAAAATAGGAGCTCTTACTCCTCAACTCATTCAAGGAAAATAAAATTTAGATATTTAGCAAAAGCAGATTTATACAAACACAATCTTTGAGTGGTGGCCAGGTTTCTGTAAGAAAATAATTAAATATGATGATCAGTTATCAAATCATTAACTAACAGAAACTTCAGTGCGAGAGATTTTCTGGTCAATAATGTATTTATCAGTTAAATTTTTCTGTTCTGGTAAAGAAGCTGTTTATTTTAATAAGATTTCCTTTGGGCAAGCTGAGCTTGGGTGGGTAACAGAGTAGCAGCTTCCTGGACATCCTGATTGATAAAGATCACTGAGTGAATACAATAAAAAGTGCTTTTATCTGTGTTAATAAAAAAGTTAGAAATAGAAGCAGTTTGAAGCTTTTATAAGACCCATAAGTATGTGGTGGTTATAAAAACTGCTCCATCTTGGCCTTCTCACTTATTTATAAAAAGATGCTGCCATGTATTCATTTTCTTTATGCAGGTTCTGAATACTTGGGGTAAAAAAGTTATTTTATAATTCAGTCAAGCAGTAGAGCAGGCCTAACCAACAATTGGCTTGCACACTAGAGATGAGCCTTTGTTTTAGTTTTTGGCTCCTGGAAAGCTGCCTGAACTCAACTGTTTTGTTAATATAATGCTAAAGAGCTACACAAGAGCTACTTCTAAATCTTAAACAACCAGTCAAACAGAAAATCTCTGGTAAACACCGACATCTAGAAGCACTCAGAGAGTGCACATGTCTGCCAAGACCCACCGTCATTCACGCAGTAACATCCTGTGCACAAACAAGAATCCTTTAAAAAAAATGTCTGGAGATCCAGGTCACCACAAAAACTTGACAACCTCAACATTTCCTGAAAGTTTCATGAAAATCCATTGATAAGTTTTGAGTAATCTTAAGCACAGACAAACAAACGCCAAAAACATAACCTCCTTGGCGGAGGAAACAAGGAGGAGTGGGTAAACATGTGTACCTGTAAGCAGTTTGATTGACCCATCAGGGGCAAAAACATAATCGCACACCTTCGCCTTTTGGTGGTGGGCTATCGTTACCATACCACTTTACAGGTCCTTCTCAAAAAATTAGCATATTGTGATAAAGGTCAGTGTTTTCCATAATATAATGATAAAAATAAAACTTTCATATATTTCAGATTCATTGCACACCAACTGAAATATTTCAGGTCTTTAATTGTTTTAATACTGATGATTATGGCATACAGCTCATGAAAACCCAAAATGCCTGTCCCAAAAAATTAGCATATCATGAAAAGGTTCTCTAAACAAGCTATTAACCTAACCATCTGAATCAACGACGTAACTCTAAACACCTGCAAAAGATTCCTGAGGCTTTTAAAAACTCCCAGCCTTGTTCATTACTCAAAACAGAACTGGTGTAACGTGCTCTCTTTTGCCTATACCGGTTAAAATCGGGTTGCAGCATTTTGGGCCATTTTTAAACGTGTAATGGAGGTCTGATTCCAAAATGAAGCGCATTGCCATAATCGAGCCTGGATATTATGAACGTTATTCCCTTTAGCCCTTGGATCCTTTAGTTTTAAACATAAGTTCCACTGAAAGCCTCGTCATACAGCCTTTACGCGAGGCTCAAACTGTACCTGTATAAACAAGTTCCCGTTGTTGAGCCTTTGGAACGTCTTTATGCAACTGTTCATTACAGAAACGCGTTTAATTTTTATTTTTCAAATTTTTCACATGTAATAAATTAAAAACAGGACCAACTCCTCTCAATAACAAACAAGATTTGGGTATCTCAGTATATCAGGATGAAGAACCACTCGTTGGATCAGTTCTTTGTTTTGGAACTGCTTTAACAAACATATTAGATGTAAAGATGCGTTCCAAAATTTTGAACTTCTCTTAAAAGTATTAAACGGAGAAGACGACTGTTTTGAAACATGAGCACACCTGTTAACCAACGTGCCTTTGAGTCACTTTTAAACCTGGTTATTAACCATATGAGAACTCCATCCGATTCCGGACAGCTTCTTTAATCCCCTCAGGGAGCAATCCAACCCACTGGACCAGCTGTAATGAAGACAAATGAGTTGCCATGGTGATGGCTCGGGGGCCCGAGTGTTGGCTGATGTTAAGTGAGGGGAATGTTGGTTATGTAGTTTGTTTTGGCTGCGTGTGTGTAGTCCCGACTCCGTCTGCTTAAACTATTAACCGTGAGCTCATCCAGGAATGATTTGATGTGCTCTAATTTGGTGCACTGAGAGGAGTTACTCCTATAATCGTCAGTACACGCATCAAAACGTTTCACTTTTTCCACTGTTTTACCATCTTTAAGCGCTTTCCTCTGCCTATTGAATCAAACGATCACCCTCAACACATCTCAGGGTTATGCCATTTAATGTCCAAACTGTTTAACGGCAGAATGGAGGAGAGTTAAAGGTGATGAACGCAACAGGATTAAAGAGAGAGAAACGGATACAAGGGTTAAAAAAAAAAAAAAGAAACAAAAGGCAACTGGAAAGAAGAGAGAAACGTGCGGCCTGGTGCTGACATCTAAGAGAGCAGTGATGCTTTAATGCTCTTGTAGAGGAAATAGTTTCCAGTGGGTTTTTTGGCTCGCAGTAAAACACATACACTCCACCACACACACACACAAATACACACTGCCGAGTGGTTAGCAGAGGAGAGCAGACGTGATTTGCTACGTGTTTACTCACATTCTCTTGTGGTTTACTCAAGACCTCATCTACAGCTTTAATTCTTTCACTCTGAAAGTCCTCAAAACGTATTCCTCCGTATGTTCAAAGCCCACTACGCTAACAATTTAAGAAAATATTTACCTTGTACTTTCTGTCTCTGTTGGAAGCTAAAAGGTAATGTAGGTGCTTGGAGTCTTATATCTCTTTAATGGTTTCAAGAAATGAAAACACCGTTTTGAGTTATACAAGGGAAGTTATTAAAGTTAGAGACATTAATTGGTTTATATTAGTCACACACACACACGTATATATATAT